TCTTGATGATTGATAAGATAACTTATATGCTTTCTTGAGAATCTTGATGACATTGATGTTAAAAAGAAGTTCTTGATTATGATATGATGATTCTTGACGAATCTTGATATTTTCTTGATGTTAAAAATAAAATATGTTCTTGATGATTTTGGTGGGATTAGAGCCCTAGGTTGGATTGGGAATTTGTATTGAAGATGTTCTTGATTTATATTTGGGTGGGAAATTCGCATGTTCGGGTGTTGTTTATATTTAGAAGCCGTAATAGGATAAGTCCTACATGATTCTTGCTTTTGATCCGTTAATTGCTTATGTGATGTCGTTATTTGCGTTTAAAAGTGTCTAAGCATGGTTTCGGGTTCCACAAAGGATCCCGGGACGAATTTATGATGAATGAGTCAGTGAGGGGTAGGTGGGGGTAGGGGAACCCACCACCTACCCGCTGCCCAAAAGGGCACTGCCCGGCAGCGGGCAGCCACCGGGCAGCCGGCTGCCCGCCAGCTACCCGTTGCCCGAAATAGTGCCCACCGGCGGGCAGCCGGCGGGTGACCCCCACCCACCGGCTACCTGCTGGTCCATGCCCCACCTCGGGTCCCCGGCTTCCCCGTTTGATGTTCCCCGTTCCCCATGATGTCCAAACGGACCCCGTTTGTCATGTCTGAGTCTAGTTTGGAATTTCGGGTACTATTCGTAGGTTAAACGAGTCTTAGGAATTGCATGCTAGTTGAATTGGTAACCCGTGGACCTAGGTGAAAGTCGTATGAACCCCTTAGGAACTATTCTTAGTATGTGAATGATCACACGTAAGCTTAATTATATGTCTCCCCCTTCTCTATGTGAATTATGTGTTATTATGTGTTATTGTGTGTTACGTGATGCATGACCCCAACTTGGTTAAGATCAATTGCGCTATACGGGCAGTTGAATGGGCTGAGAACCATCCCAACTGTTAACCAGACCGGTTAAAATCGGTCGGGTATATAAATATTATATAGGACTGAGGTCCACTATACGGGCAGTTGAATGGGCTGAGAACCATCCTAACTGTTAACCAGGCTGGTAGAGACCAGTTAGGTATATAAAGATTATGTATAGGACTGAAGGTCCACATGGGCCTCGGTGATATGACCCACCGACCTAGACGCGCCAGGCGGTGTGTAGGGCCAACAAGCCGAGGAAGGCTGTAGTCCACCGACCTGAGTAATCAGGCGGTGTGTAGGGCTACGGCTGGCTGCGATCCACCGAGTGATGGGACAGCGATGTGTAGGGCCGTAGTCTGCGAGGATCTTACACCGACTGAGTTTAGCTCAGCGGTGTGTCGGGCTTGATCCGCTACGGTCCACCGACTGTACGCATCAACGGTGTGTAGGGTCGTAAGTCCCCCCTTGTAAAGAGGATCGCGGTCCACCGACTGTGCACGTCAGCGGTGTGTCGGATCGTGGTCCGACGTTGAGTTCGTCAGCGGTTCTCAAAGGGTTGGTTGCGATCAACTCCCCTCATACCACGGTACTGAGGTAGGGTGCTGCGGGGCCGTGTTAATGCTATAAGCATTAACCCTCATGTTCGGGGCATGCGATTGGTCCCGTGGCGCCATCAATGATTATGTGATATGAATGATACTTGAATGATGATGTGTTTGAATTGAATCTGTGACCTTAGATCCGTATTCCTTATGATGTTATCTCTACTTAACTGTTTATCATTGATTAATGTACTTGTCCCTATTTGCTGAGTCTATACCTGATTTTAAAGCTAGAGTCTCCTAAGTATATATCTTCCTGCTTCAAAATGGTTTTCCTATATCTATATCTATATATATATACCTATATTGTATTTCAACGCGTTGGAGTGGGTTACCAGCATCTCTCGCTGAACAGATATATTTGGCTTTCAGGCACAGATGAGTAGATCCCAGAGCGCGCTAGAGACCCGAGGCGTAGAGTAGCTAGTTTCCCTTTCGGCCTGCGTGCCATGCTTATGTATTGACATTATTTGAGGATTTTAGTTAGTTAGCCTGTGCACCTGAGTTCTCTAGCTCAGGTGTGGCATAGCACCCCATATTCTTATGTTTGATTTCGGGATTTAATGAGCATTTACCTTTATTATATAAGTTTTAAAAGTTTCAAAATTTCAGGGTGTTACACCAATGACGGTAAATATGTTATCGGTAATAATAATACTATAATAACGTTATAAGAGAGTAACAATAGTTGTATTGCTTTTTGTCTTAGTATAGAAAGTACCGTCCTTTGCTAGCTGAGGAGAGCCCCATTTATACTTAGAGTCCTAACGGTAACAACATGGGACATAAATGGGGAGCCTAGCCTTTAATTCTCTCTCATCAATGGGGGCTTCAATGCTGGCTTCAATGACAGTAAGGTGGCACCTGTTGGAATTCCTAACCGTTGGAGTTCTGCCCGTTGGGTTCCCAAGTGATGCTGAGTCAGATGCCCATTTATGATCCGGGTTGGGTGCCAGCCCTATTATCCTGTCAATAATAATAATAATAGAAGAAATAAATCGATCAAAGTCCTTTGATGCCTGCTCCGCCGTTCATTTCCTATCTCTCTTAAATTTTTTATTTGATTTTTTTATGGCTTATTCGCTACTTTGCACTTTTGTTGTTTGCTGCAATTGTTCTTTACCTAACAATTTATCTAACTTGAGTTATTCTTACAATATTCAATGTTTTCTTTAGTTTCATGTTTCTATGAAATTAATGTGCTTTAACATCATTCTAATTTTGATTTTCAGTGCACTGAAATTATTTTCGAGTACTGAAATATATTTCGAGTGCACTAACAATGACATATTGTGTCCAAAAATTTACTATACAGTACTTGACACTTGTTCTCCAAATATTAACTATACAGATAGATGAGATGATTATTCATCTTGTCAATAAAAAATTTCCAAGCTGAGCTAATTGATGTTTGGTAATTAGTACTTAGGGGGGTGTACTCAATCATGACTTTTGTAAAGACTTTTAAAATAATAGATTTTAATAAACTTTTATTGACTTTTATAGAGTCATTCAAAACTTTGCAAGACTCTATAAAAGTCTATATAAAAAAATTCATAAAATTTTATCAAATTTTTTATTTTAAAAAGTCTACAAAAGTCATTGAAATTCTAGATTTGAATACATCCTTACAAATTTTGAATGATTCCGATTCTTATCATTTATAATTTTCTTACAAAACATATTATAATATATCATAAAATTCTTCTTATTATATAGTTCTTCACCCACATCAACATTATTATTTTTATCAATAGTATGGTGAGACTTATATGCAGGGACGGAGCCAGAAATTCAGTTGGGGGGGGGGGAGGCGAAGAAGTAGGGACGGATTCAGGAAATTTTTTCAGTAAATGCGAAACATTAAAACAAAAGAGATAATTTATAAAAAAAAAATAAATTACCTAAGAAATATAGTTGTAAATATTGTTGGATATGAGCGAAAAATAAAACACAAGAATGTTATATATATGTGTGTGATGTGACTGTGTTGAAGACATAGGGGAAGGAGTAAAAAATTGTAAAATTATATTAATGCTAAAGAGCTCAAACCCTTAACCTTTATAATTGTCAAACATATGCTTTGCCAATTAATCTAACTCATCCTTATTGACATTTAATAGGTTTTTTATACTAATACCAAAACCTGCACTATAGATACATATATACATACAAAAATTATATATGGAGTGGGGGTGGGTTGAGGGGGCAGCTGCCCCTACCCCTAGCTCCGTCCCTGCTTATATGCTAATTACTTATATACTATTAATAAGCATAAAAAACTATTTCATAAAATATTCATATGAACACTAAAATTTATAGTAATTTCGTTCCAAAAAAAAATTATAGCAATAGCATTGTTCAAATAAAATATTCAAAAATATAATTACTAGTTGTATAAAAAAAAATTTAATATATATATATATATATATATATATATATATATATAATATTCTATGCAATATATCAAGTAGAAAAATGTGTGTTGTTTTTTTACGTCTTTATTAATTGATGTATCTCACTAATTATGAAACCATTTTAACATATTACATATAGAATAATGAAAAAACAATAATTTATTAGGTATAAGGTTTATAAAGTTTAAATAGGAAGAAAAAAATAGATTTAAATAGAGAGAGGAATCCTTCGTAAAGAGGAAATTTTGAAATCTTTGGGTTGAAGGTTGGATATCAATTATTTATATTTGAGTAAAAAAAGTCTACAAAAATCCTAAAATTAAAAAGTCTACACAAATTCATAACTTTTTGAATACCACATGACTTTTGAAGACTCTTTAAAAGTCTTAATCGAATACCACATGACATTTAAAGACTATTTAAAAATTTTGATTGAATACCGCTTGACTTTTAAAGACTCACTAAAAGTTTGAATTGAATACATCCAAACTTTTAAAGTTTATAAAAGTCTTTAAAAATTGATGAAAGTTATGATTGAATACCCCCTTTAGTAGTGTGTTTGTAAAATTAAAAAATATTAAAATTTGACGTTTCTTAAACCGAAAAAAATCAAATCGAATCCCCAAACCCACCCCTAATAAATACATATTGTCACAAAAAACAACAAGCATGATACTAGTGTGTGAGCTTGAGTTCGAACTAGAGACCTCTAGTGTGTAATAGTGTGTGAGCTTGAATACCCCCTTTAGTAGTGTGTTTGTAAAATTAAAAAATATTAAAATTTGACGTTTCTTAAACCGAAAAAAATCAAATCGAATCCCCAAACCCACCCCTAATAAATACATATTGTCACAAAAAACAACAAGCATGATACTAGTGTGTGAGCTTGAGTTCGAACTAGAGACCTCTAGTGTGTAAAAGTAGTATGACAACCAACTACACTACCCAAACTTATTTGAACAAGTCTCTTAGGTTTTATAATAAACATGTAATAGATAGCTTTGAGAATTGGGCTTGCATTTGAGAGTATGTGAGGCCTTGGTATCACGAAAACAGCAATAACATGTCTGAGCCCGGGTTCAAACCAGGGGTCTCTAGTGTGTGAGACTAGCATGATAACCAACTACACCACCCAGACTTGTTTAGACAGTTCTCTTAGGAGTCGTTTGGTTCACAGAATGTAAGATTACCTTAATGAATGTTAGATTGCTGGGAATGTTAGATTACTGAGAATGTTAGATTCCTGTGTTTGGTTAAAATTGGGGTATATAATATAATGATGTTTGGTTTAGGGTTATCTTTTATACACACTATAATATCCTTAACATATTTTCATATATTTTAATAAATTTAAAAATTAAAATAAATAAATAAGATAACGGTATCATATATAATCACATGATTTTAAAATATTAACTAAAATCTTGAACTTGAGAAACAAAATTATTTTATAAACTAACATAACATAATAAAAAAAAAAAAAAAAATATATATATATATATATATATATATATATATATATATAATTAACATAACCAAGGTTATCTTAGATTACCTAAGATTTTGAAGGGAATCACATTCCCTTCAAAATCCTATGTGGAGGGAATGTGACATTCCTTGGGAATGTTAGATTCCCTAAGATAATATGAACCAAACACCGGAATGTGAGCCTTTGGAATGTCACATTCCCTTGGTTATCTTATATAACCTGAACCAAACGCCCCCTTAGGTTTTTTAATAAAAACCTGGAATAGATAGCTTTGAGAATTGGTTCGCATTTTAAGAGTATGTGAGGCCTTGATCACGAAAAGAGCAATAACTTGTCTGAACCCGGGTTTGAACCGGGGACCTCCAGTGTGTGAGACTAGCGTGATAACCAACTACACCACCCAGACCTGTGTATATATCAGCTCTTAGGTTTTCTAATATAAAATCGTAATGGATAGCTTTGAGAATTGAGAGTATGTGAGGCGGCGTTGAGAGTTGAGGGTTGGATTAAGCGAGCGAGCGTGACCGAATCTTCTCTGTGGAGTCCCAAATGGTAAAAAAACCCAGAACCAGAACCCTATTCCGCCTTTCTCTCTTACCGTCTTCCATGGCCAAGAAGCGGAAGCTTGTTAAGAAATCTGACGCTTCCAAATCTCATAAGAAGAAAATCAAGAAGATTAACAACAATACCAACCCCAACCTTGCCCCGCCCCAAGAGGATCCGACTCCCGATTCCGAATCTTCGCCTGAGAACATCGATTCCCTCCTTGAACCCTACTCCAAGGACCAGCTTATCGCCCTCGCCATCGATGCTGCCCTCCACCATCCCTCCCTCCTCTCCCTTATCCGCTCCTCCGCCCACTCTGATATCTCCCACCGCAAGATCTTTGTCTACGGCCTTGGCTATGACGTCACCCGACACATCCTCCTCTCTGCCTTCCAACCCTACGGAGAAATTGTCGACTGCAATGCTGTCACCGACCGTCTCACTGGCAATTGTAAAGGCTATGGTTTTGTCATCTTCAAGAACCGAAAAGGTGCGGTCAAAGCCCTAAAGGAACCCAGGAAGAAGATTGGGAATCGGTTTGCCTCGTGCCAGCTGGCATCTACAGGACCCACTGCCCCCGTCGCCGGTTCGGTTCAGCAGGATTTGGGTAGCCGGAAGATTTACGTGAGCAATGTGCCGCAGGATGTCGATGCAAAGAGGTTGAGGGATTTTTTCGGGAAATTCGGGGAAATTGAGTGCGGCCCTTTGGGGATCGACCCGAATACTGGCAAGTGGAAAGGTTATGCTTTGTTTGTGTACAAGACCGCAGAGGTAGCGAAGAAATGTCTGGAAGAGCCCTACAAGATGTTTGAGGGGCGGCAATTGCATTGCGAGAAGGCTGCCGAAGGCAAAAGTGGCGGGAAATTTGGAGGCGGCGCAGCCGGGATCACTACTGGTGTGGTGCAGCAGCCGTTTCAGCCCTTGCAAGCAGGGCCAGAGGTGTTAAATGCCATAGCTGCAGTTCAGAATTTGGCAATGTTGGGTCCGAACCCGAGTGCTGCTTTGCTCAATCCATTTTATAGTGGCTTCCTTGGAAACCCTAATTTAGGAATGTTAAACCCAGTGTTGGGGATGGGGCAAGGTGTGCTAGGCTCAGATCAAGTGGGGCAAGTAAGTGGCCCTGGAATGGCTGCTGCTGGTTATGGTACACTAATTGGGGGTTTGGGAGCGAATAACTTGATGCTTGGAACTTATGGCAGTGGTGAGTCAAGTGGGGGAATGCCTCGGGGCTTAATGCATGCTTATCCTAATTTGTTAGCTGGGCAGACTTCTGCATCTGCTAAGGCTCCAGGGAACAGTGGCTACTCATCACAGTTGTGGTATGACATTATCTACTTGACATTCAAATATTTGATTGCTTCATTCTTAAAAAAAAAAAAAAAACAAGAACTTTATGCTAGTTGGCTAAGGTGAAGGCAAATAAATTTATGTGACAGGAGGATAAAATCAAAATTTAATTTTGTGCATTAGTAAATTTTGGAGTAGAAGAGATGCTAGAACAAAGATACAGTGCTTCCTTTTATTTTTTACTCTTTGGTCTTGTATAAAATTAGGATTAGAAGAGAAACTGGAATTTATATTTCTGGATCTATATGACTACACACACAACTTATAATCTTAAACTTAGATAATTGAGAACATATCTCCGTACTCAATCTTTTGTTTCTCCAATCAATTCATGGATTCTTGTGATGTTTCTAAAGTGTGCAGTATGTTTCAGAAGTTGATATTGCATATAATGCTTCCTGCTCATTAGACTTCCTTTAAAGTCCTATGAATGAGCAAAGAATTTTTTGGAAACTTTTGTGCTAGAATTAGAAGAGAACATTGAAAAGGTGTTTTCCATTCTTTTCCCAGCTTTGATCTATTATTGAAATCAAGGTGACAGTTCTAGATTTTAAGGATAATTTAGATTTAGATGAGCCATTAGTTTACACAGACCTACCTCTTTCTGTATGTACTTTGTTGATGAACAGTTGAAATTTACTTCTAGTGTCCTTGTTTTTACCTATCACAATTTCTCCTGGTTTTCTGTTTTCATCCATTAGTTGTCAGTATCAACTCGCTGTAATTTTCTTCTCTAACAATGCCAACTAAAATTTTAAGTTTGGAAATCTTTTCATACTTTGTCCCATTTTCTGTTATAATTTTGAGATAAGCCTTGCAAAAGTATTCCAATATTAATTAGTAGACATTTGAACTTTTCTTTAATTTCAGTATGGGTGGCATTTTTTACCTGATTATCAAATACTCTTGATATTTTTAATATAACATACTTTTTTCCCTTGTGTTACTTGAGTTGAATTTTCATTCATCAACAACTTAATCGGGCTTCCTTTTTGCAGATGTCTTCAACTGGCAAAAGGAAACAACGTTATAGTACTGTTGCTTAAACTATTACTTTTGGTCAGTGCCTTTGGTTGCAGCAATTGAATTTGAAAGCCATATGCCCCTTATTGGTTTTGTCATAGTTTGAGTTTCTCATTGAAAGGCCAAGCCTGAGATGAAGTTTGCAGATCTTATTTCATTTCTTTATAGTTTTCCTTTCATAAACAATTTCTGACCCTTTTTGAACTATTTTTATCTTTATTTTGATCACTTTTTATTATTGACTGCCTTTTGCTTTTTCTGAGTTTCAGATTTTGCTATCCTAGTATCCTGAATTTAATTTTGTTGTTTCGTTTTGGTTTTTTGTTTTTTGTTTTTTGTTTTTTGTTTTTTGTTTTTGTTTTTGTTTTTGTTTTGTTTTGGTTTATGCATTTACCATTAAGAATACTACTTTTTTTTTTTTTTTTACCCTTTGTCTTTTTGTTTGTTGATCGGTATACTCTCTTTTTTTTTTTTTTTTTTTTTTTTTTTTTTTTTTTTTTTTTCAGTAGGTAATTCTTTATGTATTTAATATGCCATTTTCTTCATCAACACTTCCTGCCACAGTCTCTTATTTTTGCGAGGAAAAAGAAAAGCGTATACTCCCTCTATCCCATTTTATTTGTCCTACTTGCTATTCATTGGTCAAACCAACTCTTTCTTCTTTGTTTATTTTCTTTATTATTTTTTACTTATTTTTAAATTTGATTTTTTGTGTTCAATAGTATTTTAGTGTAGTTTCTAAATATATAAATTTTGTAACCAGACACATAAAATGGGACGGAGGGAGTAATAGCTTAATGGATTTCATAATTTATGTATTTCTTCAAGGTCTATAGTTGTATAACTGTGAACCAAGCTGTTTTTTTTACTTTTTTTTCCACTGCTTACAAAATTTTATTCTTTTGTCTAGTGCAACCAATTATATAATTTTTAAAAACCCTGAACTTCATGTTCATAAATGCCCAATAAAATTCCTTTTTTTTTCCTAAGTTGCCATTTCATTTTCCATATAATTTGAGTTGATCTTTGGATGAAGTTAAACATTGCTTGCATATGAAATGGATATTGCTTTATTTTTTAATTAGTTGGTAACGTAGGCAAAGTACCTACATTTTGGCCATGTGGAAGGAAGATACCTCTTATTGATGGTTTGACTAAAATCCACTTTTCAGACAATGGACATATCAGCTGCAGTTAATGGAAATCAAAATTTGACATTGAATCAAGCATGCCATTTAACCATGAATTTTTTGTGGTGCAATTCTCTTATACATGATTGTATTCCGTGTTACTCTTGCACTGTGCATCAGTTAAGTCATTTTGTCTTGGCAGTCATTGTGCATTTATGTGACAAGCCTTGTTCCCTTGTCATTTTTTTATTTTTTTTTTATTTTTATTTTTATTTTTGGGGGGCGGGGGAGGTTATTTTGTTTTTCTTGTCATATTTAATGGTTTTTTTAAAGGTCCATCTTGAAATGTCTTTTCAAGTCTTGATTTCTTGTTCATTTGATACATCCCCCCTCTTTTTTTCCATTCCTTCCTATGCTTTGTTTTATTCTTATTTTTATTTATTATGTGATGGGTATATGCTAATATGCCTATATGGTATAACTCATAATGCAAAAGAGGGTCCTTCTGCGTTTTGAACAGATCCCTTTGCCCTTCCTTCCTGTACAGTAGGTTGGTTACATATGATATGCACATTAGTTGCGCAGATTCATAATATTATTGGC